ATTTCAAACTCAATTTGGTCAGGCTTAAACTATTTCACATGCTCTCTTTAAGATTTTCGTTATAGGTGAGAATTTTACAAAAAATTTACATATATTAAAAGTTTTATATGATCTTTGCCCACCTTACCGGTGTAATTTTAAATCAAAATGTACGACTTAAGATTATAACGATCTATTCATATATTATGAGATTATTTTAATCAAGACAATCGTTGCCTTCTTGCCGATAACTACTTGCAGCCTAAGATAGACTTAATATATACCTTTATTTATGATTAAAGGCAACCTAGTATTGTACAGCTGCATTTTAAGAGCTAACACTGTAAACACAAGATCATGTATTATATGATCTGAAGTGAATCTATACAAGTATTTGAAGTTCATAAACATTCAAACTATGTGTATCTCAATTCGTATCAAAGTGTCTTCAACATTCAATTGCCAAGTGTAACCAGCTGCAATTCAAACAAAACCAATTTACAATTCGCCAAGTCTGGGCAACATTTTAATTAAGTGGAAAGTTCTTAAATTTGCCACAGCTGAAAAGTTGGTTTCAATTGCAGCTCAGCTTTAAGAACAGATACTTCCCACAAGTATCTTTACCATTGACCTATATCGAGTTATAAACCGAGCTGCTTTATAGCAATGTCAACCCCGAGTGGCGTTGCCTGCTGTTACCTGTTACCCAGTAATCAGCTGTAGGGGGCACCTGCAACTGCAAACAGCAACTGCAATTGGAACTGAGCTTCCGCCTCGTGAAGTTCAAGCGCGTTCATAATCAGTGCATTTTGTAGATACTCGAAGTGCATGCAAGTTGAAACATTTTGCGGTTCGTGTCTGGGTGTGCAATTATGTTTTGGTTGTACTCCAGATACTTTGTCTAGCTTTTGCTGCGCTTTGGCTTTGCCGTCGCCTCAATCTCAGTCATCAGTTTGCCAGTCTTCCATAGAGATGACCGCGTGTCAGATCGTTTTCGATACGAGAACGAGCAGAAATATCGACACCCAATCGACACGACTCTAACGACTTTTTACTCATTTAACTTTATATTTCTTCGTTTCCAATAATAGATTTCAGTAGTACTCATATATTTTACCGTGTTTTCCAACACTAAATAAAAAAACAACATTCTACATTTAATCTAAAATGTCAGATAGTACTATTTATTTGTGTTGGTAAATTTAATACCCTTAATTCGTTGCATTTACTTGTGTTTGGTTGCGTTAGTTGACAATTCAATGTTACCTTTTTCAAGACTCACAGTGCTCTCGCTTTTATCATTTAAATTTGCCAGCGTTTGCAACTTGTGTTGAGTTGTGTTTTCTCGTGCCACGACCTGCCCTCATCTCTAGCCTTCAAGTCTTGAGCCGCTGTGCTAATTACTTAAACTAGCTGCCTGCACATGTTAGCTTTACATTTAATTATTGCGACTTAATGATGGCTTTCTGGCTGTGTGCTTTGGGTGTGTGTGTGTATTAATAATTAGAAAATGAGCCGACAATGGGGCGGCGTCTGGTCGCTGCTATTGACTTTCTGTGTGTTACACTTCTCGGCAACGGTGCATTGACCGAGCGCAAAAAAAGTGCAATTGGCCAAAACACCAAAATCAAATTGGGAAATGCAAGAAAGTGATACTCATGCCAATACTCATAATACTCATAGAGATATTCGCAAACACTCATTGGGTACTCATCGGTACTAAAATGTACTTATTTGCTTTATATCCAATTCGAATTGCCAATGACAGCTTAATATATAAATAGGTTAATATGTTAAAACTCATACAGGTACTCTTTGTACTCATTGAAATATGAACAAATACTCATGGGAACTCGATGATACTAATATATTTTTATATATTCACTCATGCTCATATTTCTTGAAATGCTTAATTAACAAGTACTCTTATAGATACTCATTGTATTCATAGAGATACGCACAAATACTCAAACGTACTCATATGTACTCATTCGCTGTGGCCCCGACCAATTTCATTCTTCAAATTGAGGCGGCCAAGCGGCAAAAGCCGCGCGTTGACTGCACTTTCATTTATGGGGGAAATGGTTGGGGATCTTATGGCCATGGTCACGCAAGCAGTAATAGGGTATAGGGGAGGCGGGTGGTAACTAACTGGGCAACGAGGGGCGCATTGGTTATCTTGCCTTTTCGCACACACTTCAGGAAGTTCAATTAATAGAACGAACGCTTAAGCTTAGCTGTAGTTCTTGGAAGTCTAACTGTATTGAACGCTTTATGGCGCGTAGCGCACGCGAGAGTTGCCGTGCACCCCTCCTCAAGACTCATTTCAGGCCTCTCCCCACACTTGCAATTAAGTTTCAACGTAATTGAAACTACCGCAAAGTGCGCCTGGCTTATAACTAAACTGTCTGCATTTATGAGATACATTTTTGAAGCCATAGCAAGGCCCCTGAGAGCCTGGCTGCTCTAGGGCTTCCCAGAGGGCAGCGGGTGGTATGAGTGGGTGGAGCTGGCTGGGTACAGAGTGGGTTGGTTTGCACTCCTAGTGATTTTTTTTTATTTTTTTTTGGTCCTTACACCTTCACAGCCTCAGCTGCATCTTCATCGATGGCCGCATCTGTATCTGTAGCTGTATCTGTATCTGGGCTTGGGCATCTCTCGCTCCACCCTTTTGCGGTTATTGATATAACATGATATGCCATAGAGCACCAATGTATCCCCTCGTCTGGCCCAGGTTTACGGTATCTTACTGGCTCATAGCTGAATGCTTCTGCTCGTATCTTCATCAATAACGACACGGCGCAGCGTTCGCATCGTCTCAGCTCCAGATAAAGCAGCGATATGCGCATATGGGCAGCTGCCTGGCCGCTTGCAGTTCTTTTATTTTGCGATGCTTGGCCAAAAGCCGTAGGTACCATGGCCCGGCCACAGCCTGTCCAGACTGTCTCACAGTCCACACCAGTAACAACAACAACAACCACACAGAGTAGAAAAGAGGCAAAGGCAAAGGCAACGGTACGTTTTGTGCAGAAATCGTGACTTGGTACAATATCGTTATTCGTAGATCATATGGTGTAAAAGCTTAAGTGTGTGCTGTGGATGTGTGTGTGACTGTGTGTATATTTCCTAGATGCCTTTTAGTTGCATCTTGGGCTTGTCTAGCGCGGCGTGTGAGGCCAACTTTGGTTTGGCAGCTTAGACATTGCAGCATGCCCTTCTCATATTAGATGCAGCTACACTCAGATAATGTATCTTATCTTGAGTTATGTGCAGTAGAAAGCTACAAAGTAGCTCTTTTACGCTTTAAGCTCTAACAAGATTATTTACAAAAGCCTTGCAAGCTTTTACAGATGTTGTGAACATTAAAACCCCTTCTCAAGCATGCAACTTTCGAAAATATTAAAGATTTGCAATCGTCAAAGCTCCAGCCGAACTTGCTTTAAGTTTGTCTTAATGCTTAAAAAGCCTCAAACTATACTTTCTGTTATGAAAAACAAATTTGCACTATAACATAAGCTTTCTTTCTGGCTTAGAGATCCTGTTTTACCTTTGTAACTTAGGCTTCTATTTGTCCAAGGGCTTTACAACTTTAACTTTTCTTATATTTCATCAGCTTTAAGCTCATCTGTAGCGCATTTGTTGATCGACTTGGGCTTATAGCTCAAAATTCACTGTGCCTAGGCACGTTTTGGTGCACACGATCGCAACGCAGTCTTCCCTGTCTGCGTCCGTTCGGTCCTCCACCCTTCACCCCCCGAAGGCTTAGGCAGGAGCGCGCATTGAATAGCTTTTATAGCTCTCATCGCATAGCTCGAGACATGGCTGCGACTGTGCTTGGCACTGGGCCTTACATATTTTGTTTGATGATGATTTTACAGCTTAAAACGAATTTTATGAGCATATGCCATTGTTTTGAGTTATTGTGAGAAATTTTGTGTTGCATGCCCAAAGTGCGGCCCCCGAAGCCAAAGAGGGTCCTCCACCTAAACAGGACGCAGGTTTTGCCAGTGTTTAGTGAAACGGAAAAGGGAAGGAGGCACGCAAGTGATACACATGTTCTGCTACATGGCGACATCAAATTACAGTGTACCTGTAAACAACAAAGCCAGGTTCAACTATATCAGCGAGTGCTTAATGGTTGTCCACAGCAACAAAAACAACAACAGCTTGTGTTCGGTCTTAACAGTAAATTCGTGAAGTCAAAAACTAAAATTCAGCAGCCGCCCAGCAATATAGCAGGCACTGCCTCTTCTTCTACTTAGACTCTGGCCACTCAGAGATACATTCGTATCTTCGTGCCCAAAGATATACTTTGTTAATTGAAAGCCATTAAAGGTAATTTTATGGAAGGCGTTAAGCCATGAAACGTGTAACATGACCATTGACATGGGCAACAAGCGCGGCAGAGAGACGGGGGATGGGCGAGTTGGCTTATACCAGGACTAGGACAAGCAACTGCGAGTGTCATGAAGTGAAGCGCAACTTGCCGCATTTGGTGGCATGTTCTGCACTTTGGATACTTTGCTTTACAAGTGGGAACAATTTTTGTTGCCCCCCTTTTTTTTTTTCTCAAAGTGCCATGGAATTTGTTTTGCTTGTTGCAAAGCATTCGAAAGTGTACCTGACAGCGACAGTTAACTTGGCTTAGGCATAGTTAAAGGTGCGCTGGCATATAGGCTAGGTCATACAGTTTTATAATCGATAACAGCCAGCGGTTAATAATGCTCAGATTTTAGAAAACTCAATCAAAGCTTTCATATTTTATTTCCAATTTCACTTTCGATAAATCTAGCACCGATACAAATAATGTTATTATCGATGTTGATAGCTCTGACTTTCGACTTTGATATAAATATCTTACATAATTACATAATGCGCGCTTAATATTCCCTTTGCAAGCCAGAGCTATTATTAATATATTTTGCTTTTTAAATAAAGAAAATTCTTAAAAATGTTGAAATATATATCATTAATTAATTTCATTGATTTCTACAATGTTTATTTCTTTTGATTCTTTTCAGGCTGCAAATCATTCTTCAAGCGATCCGTGCGACGCAATCTGACATATTCGTGTCGGGGCAGCAGAAATTGTCCCATAGATCAACATCATCGCAATCAATGCCAATATTGCCGTTTGAAAAAGTGCCTAAAAATGGGCATGCGACGCGAAGGTAAGTCCTCCCACCTCCATATACTATGTACTATTTATTACAATATTCGAAATTTCTCGCATTGGCCCACACGGTCAATTAAAAGTCAAACAGTGAGGCAAATACATAAATAAATTAAATGCGCAGGGACCGCAGACGAAACGCCGAGCAAGTAAAAAAATTGAAACAACGTTAGAAACGGAAGTAGAACAAGAAATAAAATTTGATTTTCAATTGTATGTAGGTTAGATTCGGCAATAAATGGGACAACTAAATGTCACATGCTAGGAATTTTCACACAATTGACAACTGTGCGCTGCTCTTTTGGACGCTCTACTTGCTGGGGTTTATTTGGTTTGTGCCAAATGGTCTGCCAAAGAATGTGGCTACAGTCAGAGTGTCATTTGATGACAGGCCCCACACCTAAAGAGCTCAATTAAAAAGGTCTCCGAATGCTGCTTCAAGTCTGCCTCATTCAGATGATACATCAGTTACCAGCGTCTTAGAGAGTAAGTCTTCCTAAGAGAAAAAGTCTCTAAGTTTTGGGAGTTCTATAAATAACTATAAATATAAAATCATAACAGTTACATCACAAAAAAATACTTTTACTTCGTTAATCCTCTAAATAGTTAAAACTATTGGCGTCTTAATGCCTCAAAAAAAGTGCTCCAGACAACTCAATATGCTGTCAACATATACGCCTTTATAGACAGCCAATTAGCTATCCAGTCATTGTCATATTCCATTACATATCAAACTCCAAGTTCCTAAACTACATTGAAATCTACCCATAGAGTCATTTGTCTAGACACTCACATAAGAAAGTAATAATTATTTAAGCTGAGACTTTGTAGTAAGTGCACGACTAAGCGTTACTCTATAATAAATATATGAAATTAAGTTTTCCGCATCGATTATATTATGTGTAACATAAGCTTGCACACGTTGAGCATGGCCACTTAACACATTTTATGGTTGCAGGGTATACAGAAAGAAAAAAACAATTAAGCATTAGGTACAGCATATTGACCCTAGAGATCAAATGCAAACTTGTTCGCTCGCTGGTTAATAATTAAAAAAAAAACAACTTTGTACGAGCATGAGTACTCGAATATATCGAATACGTGGAACAGTTGAATAATTGAATACTTGAATAATTGAGCATACTCACTCGCATTAGGAATTAGCTCGATATTGTAATTTGTGTGTCGACACTTTTTTTCTGTGCCTCTGGTGGCATGCAGTCGCTAGGCACAAATTATTTATTAAAGTTAATTCGATTAGATCTTGTGACATACACTGTAAGAAAATTGGGATTAAAAACGGGACAGCTTAAGGATAAAGTCATGCTGGCTAGGAAGGACGGGAAGTGCCGACCTGCTTTAACTATATTCCATCTAGTCGGGGGCTCAAACCCTAAACTACAACAATAACAAATATTTTGTATATTTTCAGTTTGTATCTCCCGATTTTTTACAGTCCACGCTTCGACTTAATCAAAGGCAGCATGCAACAGTGCTTGCTGCACAAATATTTGGCATAGTTGGGCCAAATGTTTTGTCCACAAATTGGTAAACGACGACAAATTGACAGACGCCACAGTGAATCGATCAATGGGTAACTGCATGACTAACTGACTGACTGACTGAGTGACAGATTGACTGACTGACTGGTTGGGTGACTGCTTGACTGGCTAGTTGGTTAGTTGGTTAGCTGCGGTTGACGGCATTAACATAGTTAGAGAGATAGAGACCTGTCCAGCTGCTGTGCAAAGCTGTTATTATTTGCACTAATATTGACAGGTTTTTCGCAAAATGCTAATAACCCCCCTTCCTAACAACAGCAGATGTTGAGCTGCTGCTGCGATTTGGGTTAAGAACGAGGCAATTAAAATGCAGCTATAGCCGCATTGTAATTAAATGTATCTAAACATTGACTTAAGCCTCGTCGCGTTTGGTTATTGCGCAAAAATATGAACAACAACAGCCGAAAAAAAAATAAAATAATAAAAGTTTGCCTATGCCAAGTACAAAATGATGTTTGTGGCTAACGACACAGCATGAACCCAGCTTTGGGCTACCTGTTTGGGCTATTAAATATGCGATTACCTGTGGCTGCCACCAGCACTGACAACAACTTGTCAACTTTATCGTCATAATAAAAACGCAAAAGAGTTCAGCACCTTTGGTCCCACCACCCCGTTCCTCTCATGGCATTTCCTAATGTACAAGTTCTGTGTAAAACTAGTTCACAATAGCCAAAAACCTATATCAGCGCCGAGAAATCGTGAGAAAATGTCTTTTCTGCATAGAATTTCGGTCCCTTTATAATTTTTGTGCCTCTTTTTTTTCGGGCGATACTTAGCACAAAAGCGGCACAAAGGTTATGCCTTGGGAGACCTGGTCAAGAAATTCTAACCAAAAAAACCTGAAAAAGCGCATAAAATCCAGGCACGAAGGTCGCTCTAATTAAATTGCAGTGTCAATTGGAGGGGCTGGACCGGACTGGGCTGAGGTTGGGTCAGCGTACTCGACAATAATTTGTGCAGAAACTTGTTTTTCCCTTTCTACAGCCAATGGTTGGGCTAGTAAAATTAATTTGAGTTTATAAAGGCATTTTTGTGAGGAAAAATAAATAAAAGCGGCGGAATTTACTACTGAAACAGTAAAATTGAACTTGAACTCGTCGGCAAACTATCAAAAAAGAGGGTTGAAGGGTGGTTTCTGTATGTAGATCGACAGATACATGAAAACTAGGATAAAAACGAGTAAAAAAAATGTAAAAGATATTTTTATATTTTATTAGTTAAAAAATATATACTTTTGATATAATTAATTAATAGATGCTATCAAATTGGAAGCTCCAGTAAGTAAAATTAACTTTTTGAAGATTCGTTGCATATAAAAAAATCTTTTCCCTGAACTTTTTAGAATTTTTTCCTATTCTTAAACGCTTTTCAATTACAAAAAATATATATATAAGCAGGGATAAAATGAGTATGAGCGTGTTTTATATAGATTGTGAGTTTGAACCCGCAACATCACCCAACAAATCTATGACTGACATTTCCACGAAGACTTGGTGGGTTTTCCTAAAAGTGTGAAGCTATAAATAAACACAATTAATAATATTGAAATATAAGATAAAATAAATAGTTTAAGCTCGCTACTTCACCAATAAAATCTGTGACTGGCATTTCTAGCAAGAAGGTCTGAATTTTTCGAAAAGTGACTTGAGGCCGAACGGATGGTAAACAGGGAGGCATTTTCCGTTTCCGTGATTTTTGCGCACTTGTGAATGGAATTACTTTACTATTACTTACTTTTTTTTAATAAAGAAGCAACAGATACCTTGTCAATTTATATGTAAAACAAAATTTTAAAGGCATTCGCTTCGCTAAAATTGCTTGACACTTTAAATCTCTTATATCATCCCATGAATATACATATATGCATTATAATTAACAATGGAAATTTTAGCTTAATAACAGCCGCTACAAAGTGCATTAAAAGCAAGGCAAATATTTAAAACGCAAATTTGCGTATAAAGTGAAAGGCATCTTGAACCAGAGGCCGGAAATTGCATTTCCATAGATATCCATTCAAAACCCTTTGGGTACGGATTAAGTATGGCTCAGTTATAGATGCTTTATCCACTTGGCCACAATTGGCTGTGGGCCACTTGGGCACGCGCTCAAGTGGCTGCTTGACATGTGCGATGACGCGATGACTCGATGACTTGTATATCGTTTATCGATTACATAAGTACGCTGCTTAACACACAACACCATGCACACACCAAAACAAAAGCGCAGTCGAGAGACTTGAGCACGTGCGCCGGCCCACAGAATTCATTCATTAAGTAATCAAGCAAAATGGCAGAGCAGAGAGAAGCAGACTCTCCTACTGCTGCTGAAGCTTCTTTCTCTTCTTGTCTATGCTGGCTGCTGCGTTATCTGGAGTCGATCTGCGCTGCAGTTGCGGTCAGTCTGGCAACTTTTGAGTTAGTGTTGTCAGTGTGGAATATATTTTCCCAGGCGCATAAATAGGCCCATGCTCAAAAACTGGACACTGAAGTGAAAGAGAGGGCGCCAGACCGGTTAGCAGCGTCTTCTGTCTGCCTAGATATGTACGTTGAGGATCAGCCGCTTTGCCTGCGCAAATTACGCAAATGTATTTCATAAATAATTGTCTCGTCCGGCGCTGGACAGTGGTCAATTCATTTGGTAGTTCCGGTTCTGCAACCCCCTTTGCACTTAATTGCTTTGGTAAAGGCAATAAACAAATACACTTCTTCCCTTTTTCTGTTATTCTGTCTTATACCAGGTCCTGTGTTTTTTTTTACGATTTTTGTGCGCTTTGTGCGAGTGACCAAAAATGCTTTCGCTTTTCGCTTGAACATAAAACGTTACTATTGCCTGACCAGCTGTGTGTGAGTGTGTATCTGTGTGTATGTGTGTGCATCTATGTATCTGCTGTGTGCTTGTTGCCTTGGTGCCTTAGACAATGGTTGTGCCCAACACTTGGCCTGATCAATAATCATGTTTAGCTTTATTTGCTTTTCAGCGCCTTGGGCTGAATTTCGCGATTTTTTTTGCTTCGATTAGTTTTCGAACTTAGACTATTGCTTGGAACTCTAGAGTGGGGTTAGGTGTGGTGCATATGACTTCGTCTAGGTGTGTACCTCATATTTTGAGGTGTAAGAAAAAACCATTGCGCAACGCTCCATTGTTTTTCGCAAATAAATATAACAAATGCGTTTTGAAGAATGGCCAAGCCTCTTAAATAGTTTTCTCAACTTTGTATTCTATGCAGGTGTAAGCTCTTAGGTGAGGGAATTGCGGGTCAAAGTTCCAAGTTAAGGAATGCGCTTGTACTAAGAGCGATTAATCGCTTTTAAGAACCCCTCTCTCTCTCTTATAGTCAGAGAAACTTTTAATCTATTAAGCGCAATATCTCCCTTTCCCTTCATCGTTAAAGTTTATCATCAAAAGTGATCATTTGCCTCTCAACTCAGTAATCAGTAATCTCTCTCTTTCTCTTTCATAACCTGTCGTTCTCTCTTTCTGCTGACAGGATTTGCTCGGGCGCAGCTTTTAAGTAAGTTTATCTCTCTACTTAGCAAAAATAAAGGTCATTTTAAATCGTCTCACGAAAAGCTTTTAACCTCTATTCGAATCAGCAATATTTCTGACTCTCTCGGCTCTATTAAAGTGCAGCTTTAAAGGTTGAAAATTTCCTTGGCCGACTTTGTTCTCGTTGCTCAATAGTTCATAAGCTTTCATAAATATAAATTCCCTGAAGCTGTTGTTATGCTTACTTTTATATATTGAACTCAAAGTTATATTGCTTCTAAAACTGTCCTGCGATCAACTTTTTTCCTCGCTGAGAGTAAATACTCCGCTGTTTTCTTTGCTCTCTCCGGGAAGCTGTCGCACTTATTTGCTGCTGAGTCTTGACGCTTAATTCGAACAGCTGTAGACTGAGCTTTGATTAACTAGATGCTTCCGCTCTGTTTTACATTTTAGGCTTAAGTTCTGCTCAACAGTTACACACACACTCGTGCATGTATCTTGTATATTAAAGATGCGTTGAAAGTATTTAGTCAAATTTGCATATCTAAGCAGTTGTGGCAACAAGGGGGTTGCATTTGGGTACGAGATTGAAAACGTGAAAGCAAAAAAACAAAAAAAAAAAAAAGAAAAGGGTTTAAGGGTAGCTCTTAAGGTATTGCAAAGCCAGTCGCATAGCAGAAAAGTATCTTATGACGTTGTCGGGACGATTACAAAAGGGAGCGCAGCGTCTCGAAGAGGTTGCGTACAGATTGAGGTGCCCGATAGGCATTGTGCGTTGTGGCAGCTTTGCCAACAACGTTGAATGGGGCAACATTGTGCGGCGTGTGATGTCGCGGTCAAAATAGGCGCACAAAAGAGCGCTCATATTGAATTACTTAGCTACAACTAAAGATACAGATATATCTACAGCTACATATGCACACACGCAGATACTCATTTTCTCTCTCTCTCTCTCATTGCAGCTGTTCAACGTGGCCGCGTGCCGCCTACACAGCCCGGCCTGGCCGGCATGCACGGTCAATATCAGCTGGCCAACGGCGATCCAATGGGCGTTGCTGGCTTCAATGGGCACTCGTACCTCAGTTCCTACATCTCGCTGCTGCTGCGCGCCGAGCCGTATCCCACATCCCGATACGGCCAGTGCCTGCAGCCAAACAATATTATGGGCATTGACAACATCTGCGAGCTTGCCGCCCGTCTGCTCTTCTCGGCCGTCGAGTGGGCCAAGAATATACCTTTCTTTCCGGAGCTGCAGGTGACCGATCAGGTGGCACTGCTGCGTCTCGTCTGGTCGGAGCTGTTCGTTCTGAATGCCAGCCAATGCTCGATGCCGCTGCATGTGGCGCCACTGTTGGCCGCCGCGGGTCTGCATGCCTCACCAATGGCCGCGGATCGTGTGGTGGCCTTTATGGATCACATACGCATCTTCCAGGAGCAGGTGGAGAAGCTGAAGGCGCTGCATGTTGATTCCGCCGAGTACTCCTGCCTCAAGGCAATTGTGCTCTTCACCACCGGTAAGTTGCTGGATATCCTGTACAAGGATGTGCCCGCACTGCTAACCAAAGTTTCAGCCCTGCTGGGCAAACGTGTGCCGGCAGCGTTGGCGTCCACATCCACCGATGCTGGCCTCGCCGATTGCAGCAATGACGATGTGCTTGCCGTGGTGCGTGAGCATCTCGATGAGCTGAATCGCCTGGAGTTTGAAACCCAGCTGCAGCAGGCACCATTACATTTGGCTACCTTCATGAAGAGCGTGGCGGGCGTCGAGGCTGCAGTGCAGCAGGCGGAACAGCAACAGCAACAGCAACAATTGCAGCCAATTCCCAGCGAATCAAAGCCTAGCGCTGCTGCTGCTGCTGCTGGGCCTGTTGTACCCTCCGCCGGCAGTGCTTTCAGCAGCTGCACCAAGTCCATTGCCAATGCCAATGCAAATGCCAATGCCAATGCTAATGCCAATGCCAATGCCAATGCTGAGGTCGATCTCCTTGCCGCGCTCTATGCCAGTTCCAATGGCAATGCCGGCAATTCGAGCAGCAGTCACAATAACAGCAGCGGCCTGGGCGCATCGCTGCCCACACACTCCCACAGCGCCTCATCCTCCCACAATTCATACACCGCCTCGCCGCGCAGCACAGTAGCAACCACCGCCGCCACCGCACTGACCACCAGCAGCAGCACAGCGAGCAGCTCACTGGTTGGAGCATATCAAACGCCGGGCCAGCAGCAGCAGCAGCAGCAGCAGCAACAGCAGCAGGCGGCTGCTGCAGCGGCAATGTTCTATCAAACGCCGCCACGCAGCGCCTTCGGCTCGGCATTTGATATATTCCATCACAGTACGCCCTTTGGGGTGAGTCACGCGGCGGCGGCAGCGGCTGCGGCGGCCGCTCACAATAGCAGCGGCGCCAGCTTCGGTAGTCCCAGCTATAGATATTCGCCATATAGCCTAGCGGGCAGTAGATGGCAGTTGTAGCCCCTACCCAGCTCCTAAAGAGCCGGTCGATCTGTTTTTTAGTCAGTTATCAAACAGTTTAGTTTAGCTAATGTATCTATATATGTATAGCTTATTCTCTATGTATCTATGAAGTACTTAATTATGTATCTTTTGTAAAGTTAATTTTAGTGCCTATTTGCTTATGTATTTATTGCCTTTAAACTAAGTCTTAACTTATTTTAATCGTCATTTAGCTTAGAACAAAAAAACATTACCAAAAAATGCATACAAAGAAAATGATAGGAAAGTGTAGGGAGAAGCGTAGCGAGAAGCTCGAAGAAGACTTAAGAATATACACTGCTGTTGCTGTTAAACAACAAATTTAAACCTAACCTGTGTTTTTACTTGTGTTCCATTTGTTACTAATTCTTTAAGCTTGTTGACTAATTTTAACCGTTGTGTTTACATTTTGTTTTAGGTTTTTTCTTTGACTTATTTTTAATTTACTTGCTTTTGCTTACTAATACTATTATTTAATACTAATACTAGAAAAATAGATAATCTATGTAGTTTAAATGCGTCTGCTTGCTTTAAGCACAAATAGAACAAGTTTAAACATTTAAATTGATATAAAGAACACTACTATCAATTGAAAAACAAATGCTCTTTTAAATTGGCAGCTAACGTAGAAGAAAATTTAAAATTCCAAGTTGTTGAGAACATTTTAAAAAATTTCCCTTTTGTCACAAAGTTTCTTTTTAGATTTTGTTTTTAATTATTTATTATTATTTTCTTCAATATTTTTCATAGATTTCATCTTAACTTTCTCAATTTAAACTAATTGTTATTGATATATTCTTTAACGTACTTTAAAAAACTTTAATGTGAACAAATTTGCTTATAAAAATATTTTTTACTTTTTGGAATAGTTTCTCTATTTTTTTATTTTTTATAATAATATAAAAGATTTAAAAATATTGAAATTATGTTTCTTTTTACATTTTTTATTTACTCATGATCAAATTATTTATATTTCATTAATTATTATTATAAATTATATGAAATAAAAAGGATTTGATCGTCTTTAAAGCAATTACGCATAATATTTTGTTAAGAAAAATTTACTTAAACTATTCAATTGCCAAGAAACCTTGAAATGATGAAAAAGTTCAAAACAAATAATTGCTGATTGAGGTCTCTGGTAATGCCTATGAATCGGGCATTAAGCCAAAGTTATATTTAATGCCCGATTCATATGCCATATCCAAACGAAAACTATGAATGCAGCTAGTTGTTTTTTTAAGTAACTAACAAAACATTTTAGTCATAAACTAGCTGCCTTCATAGTTTTCTATATACATTTTTTTCGATTACTAATTTTGCATTTTTTATTTTTAAACCAAAGCGAAAGAAAAATACAAAAATCGCACACCCAAAGCAGCTTCGCACACTCACATTTCGGCACACACTCTGGACTTTGGAAGCAACTTGCACTCACACACAAACACATACACTCATACTTGCATACGCCGAAAACACACACATTTACATACTTATATAATAAGCAGTTACATAAAAATTAAAATTTTAAAACTAATATGGCACATGGCTTAATTTTAATGTTCTTTTCTTTATTTTTTTAATCATTTATTTTTGTTAGTTTTCCTTTAAACTGAAATAAATGCACAATATTTGTATGCAATATTTGTTCAAAAATCAAAATCGAGGCTCTGCATATTTATTTTATTTAAGTTTATTTTAAATGCCAAACTTAGTTTAAGTTAAGCCAGCTTAAGTTGAAGATTGCGCAGCTGTTGCTGCTTTGTCTGCCACGCTTATCTGCTCATTGTCCACTTTACGGTGGCCAAAAAATGCAGCGATGCATTCAACTGCAACTCTGCAAAGATCCCCCATCCACACACCTTACCCCCTTTTGCCCGTCGTCCATGTGTGCTGCTTTGTCAAACCGTTGGCTGCTCATGTCAAGCAGCTGTCCCGGGCGCACGTTGCGGCGGCTGTCCTCGATCTGCGACACTGACTACACGGCAAACCCCCCACTCCCTTCCCCTTCCCCCACCTTAGTCCACTGCTCCCCCTTCGGAGCTGGCGACGTTTATTGACGTCGAGATACCACATTATGAACATTAATACAACACTCGTTTATGTCGCTTACTTACAAGCCGCAATGACTGCTCCTTGGCCAAGTCTGTTGTTTTTGTTGCTGGCCAAGTCCGGCGAGAGCCATGAAAATAATTTTCCAATTTCCCAAACGCTGTGTGTGTCGATCTACGGGTTTTGTTGCCTGGGCTGGGGTTTCTGGGTCCATTGTGAGGGGGCGTCGCGAGTACGTGTTGCCAGTGCTGCGACTGCAACTCTCAACTGAAACTCTCGACTCTTGTGCAGCGCAATTGCATTTGAATTGGCTGCATGAGTCCATAAACTGCAGCCGATCAATCGCTGCAGTGCCCAAGCCCCCTCCACCTCAACCCCCCACCAACCCGCTGCTCACCCACCTACTTGTGATAGACACGATCGCGCGGTAGTAAAATACCGGGTATAGACTTAGTAGATCTTCTGCCATGGACCCAGGCGGCGGCACGTTGACGACATGTCTGCGCGGGCTCTGTGGTGCATCTTCCAATCTGGTTGTTGGCCACGTCTAGCTCTTGCGACTGACAACCCATCCCTCCCCCCTCCCAATGACCGCACTGGCTGCCTGATTGCTGTCGTTTGTTGCAGTTGTTAAGAGTTGTAGCTTTCATGTCTTGGCCACACTTTTTGACCAACATTTTGTGTTGGTTTTAGCTTTGGCTACGACTCTTGGCCAACCTTTGTGCTGCGGCTTTGGCTTTGGCTTTGGCTGTTGCCTATGTCTGCCTCTGTTGTTTTTTTTCTACTTTGCCCAAATCGTTTTGTGGATGCTCATTGATCGCCTGCGCTACTTTCTGAAAATTGCCCCAGACGTGCCTTGTAATTAACAGTTTCGAACAGAGACCTCTTTGATTAGAATCATTTTTAGGCGCGTTATTCCGCTTCATCCCAGCTCGCTCTCTCACTCGGAAACCCTGACGCTGCATCAGTTCAGACCCAAGATTTAGCTGCAATCAAACTGATCGCCATGTCAGATATTAAACATTTGCCGCCCGAATAGAAAACTTTTTAAACAGAAAATATTGCATAAACTAGATATGAAATATATTTTTTTAATTTTTTAACTAGCCAAATAAAAATTAAAGTTCCCACAATAATTTTTTAATTTTATTAATACAGTAAACTCTTATTATGATCTTTTAAAATGCATTTCTTATGCACCTATTAGAAATTGTTCAAACCACTTATAAAATTCTATGAGCCTCAAAATCTATTTTAGCCTAAAGTTCAATATCCCAAAAATTTGCTAAAAGGATATTTATTAATAAATAACATTATATTATTAATTTTTTGTTTTTTAAAATTAATAATAATTTATGTTTTCTAACTTATCTCTTATTAGTAAAAAAAATATTACCCATATCCCCCGGGACTTTTCGTATTAAAATAACATAAAATTGAATTTTTTAAAAACTTAACAAAAGTTTTAATCCACTATTTAAATTTTCTCCAATATTATAAAACAAACTTTCAGCCTTTCCTAAACCGAAAGATAACTTGACTAATAAAAAAACAGAAAAGTTTACTCTGAATAAGTAGTATGTACTTTCGTATCTATCAGTTTATAAATTACCTCAGAAGAAATTCTTTTGACTTTCTATAAATAGTGTTCAAAGATATATTTCAGTAATGTTGCTTGCTTTACCTGAAATGTATCCTTTGCGCATTTTTACATTACCTTCTCCCCAAACTTAGTCAAATCGTTGTCACCCAGCATATACCTGTCTTTTATGTGTTGCACTTTTTCTTGAACGACTCTTAAAAATGCCGCTTGAATATAAATTCACAGTTGACCTAACATGAACCTATCCCAAAGGCCCGAATCATATCTGCAGGCATTATTATTATTATTTTTTCCTATGCACTAGTCCTTATTAAAACTAAATAAAGTTATAACTGTTACCAGAGTAGACACGAAGCCCAAGTCGAACAACAACAACTACTTCTGACATAAAAACTATATAATAAAATGTAATGCAGCAATTCATAATTTTTGGTTAAACAGCTTAACCTTTGCTATGGTCCGAAAGCGAGACAGGGTCGTGGGGGGCGGGGCGCAGCCTGTGCCACGTTCTTGTGTGACCAAAATACAAAAAAAAATATCTGCTCCTTATTCGATATGCATGTTGTTGTAGTTGCAGTTGTTGTTGTTGTTATTGGCAGCACAATTCGGTTACGTAGTTACATCAACTACTTTACGGTCATTATGCATTTAAAACACGCGGTCACGATCTCCGCGCTGAGTTAGTAACTGCGCAGAAGGCAGCCAGGCAGAGGTCCAACCAAAAGCGCAGCCAGCCCGAAAACAGTTAAAAAAAGAAAAAAAAAACCCAAAAAAAAGCCAAAAATCAAAGCCGAGTTAAGCCATAGTTATAGTCGCAGCCCGTTGCAAACGCCCGAGAAAGCTGCAGCTCGCGGGCTCCAATGCTGCATTTCTTTTGGCCAAATTCACAAACTGGAATTTCTTTCACTCGCTCCTCGTCGTTCTCGTCGTCGACGTCTTCTGCATTTCAATGAAAATAAAATTTTTGCCTGGCTTATTGATTCGAATTGTGGCACATTTTTTTCGAAATACTCTTGCCGAGGGTATAGTTACTTTGTCACGAAATGTGTTACTCGTCTTCCCTTGTTGTGCAAGCTAGTTTCTCAGTATTTAATGTACATAAAGCTGTCGTCCTATTCAGAAACTGATTTGGGCGTATAGCTGCTATAGGCACTAACGATAGAACAGTTTTCAGATATCCTGGCCAGGCTCAGGTATTAGGAGCTTTACTATTCCCCTCCCACATGTGAAAGCATTCTCATTAAATCCACATACCTGTAAGGGTATTAAGTCTTCGGCCTACTGAAGATAGGTGGTTTTTCCGACTATTTGCTGCCCTCTTCTTATGTCCTCCGGACTCGTTTTCTTTTACGACATTCGACTGGCACTCGGGCACAGGATCATCAAAGCTAATAGCCAAAGTCAATTGACAATTATTGACCATGGCCAAGCGATGTGATTTGCAGAGCTTTTCAACCCCAACTGTTCAGATCTAATTTGTAACTTCACGATTATTTTCTGTTGGTTGTTTATGAAATGAAATGGTTAATAATGGCTAATTGAATTTCTGTTGCCTTTGGCGACAAATCATTTATCTTGATTTACGCGCATTGTGTGGCTCAGGGAGGTGGGGAGGGGCGGCCAACTCTGGAGCTCAGTATGCTTGTTTATTTGGCCTAAATGCAAGTTTTGTTGTGCCATAAAGTATCTTGCGGCGTGGATTTGTTTGCAATTTTCTTTCTTTTTCTACACTTGAACTTTGTGCTTTTTATGTGATTGCAATGCAATTTTGTTATGTAATTTTTATTTATTCAACTTTGCGGCATATTTAAAATTGACAATTCACTTAGCAAATGACAGAAAATTAACAAAATGAATGTAAGCACTTCTCGGGACTTTGAGTTTTGTTTATTTTTATATTTTGCACACAGAAGTCATTTATCGGCGATTTCATTTAAGCTTATAGTTGAATACTTAAAATAGCCAGCATTTGTTAATTGTTAAAAGGCAGAAAATAAATTAACTTAAAAATAAAAATAAATGAACACTATAACACATTCATATAATATTATTATATGTATTAATCAAGCAATAAATATTGACTGATTTTTTTAAAATTATATTAAGAAATATTTATGACTATTTTTATGATAATGATAAAACTAGGAAAATATGTATTTGAAAATTTAATAAATTAAGTATTTGACGAGTTTTGCTTTAACTTAAATATAATTTACCTTAGAACTATTTGAAGAATATTAAATCTGATACTGACTTATATTATTTCCTAATAATTATTTTAAGGATCAAATAACTTCATAATTGCCTAGTTTTAATTTAAGTTAATTAATTATTCGAATACCACAAATAATGAATTGATTTGCTAGTTAAAAACTTAAAGAGTTATAAAGAATATATTTTAAAACAACAACCAACTACGGAAATATTTCGATTAGAATTCGAATTAACACTTCATGCCAAAAAATATACCCCGATAAATAGACACTAATTGACTTCAGCTTATGAGCTCTTTAAAAACAATTTTCCAAGTTTATCGCATAAGCAAATCCAAATAGCGATCGGTTACCTTGCGGGGTTAACTCTAATGAACCCATTTGGCAATTTGTTCGCCTCATTTTACATTGTGGCTCAATGTATTGGCTTTCAATTGACAGTTGGAAACTTGAAGTACGCTTTGCGTGCAGCCACAGACAGCTTGAACCAATCCAATCGCATAATGATATTCAAAGAGCTGAGCGCTTAAAAAAACTTAGCTGAAATGCGAGACATTTAAACGACACATTACGTCCCATAGGCTGGCATTTGGCAATGCAATCAAATTCAAATTCACACCGCAATCGGATACGTCGCTGACGACGAGTTGGGCACACAGCGATGCCATCAGAGTTTGGCCACAAAAGCCGCCAAGACTGGCCAATTCATTTGGCTGCCGCAAACCAGCTGCAAGCCAAACCATTAAAAATGCCACTTGTAAATTTTGCGTAATTTGCAAAAGATACTTTTTCTCGGATTTTTTTTTTTTTTGAGTAGCAACAGATACTGTTTGTCGTTTTGTATGCGCTGACTAATAAAACAAATGAAAGCAGCAGCAAGAAAAAAATGAAGATATAAGACGCATTCTTAACAGCGATTGAGTATGTTTAAAGCTATGCAAATTTACAAGTGCTCATGTCTAATTTGAATTTCAAATAGGCGCAGCACAGCAAATATATATTTGTATATATGTGTGGTTGTAAAATTTGTTGTTGTTTTACAACACTTAAATACACACATACATGCACAACAAACATGTATATTGATAGGCAAACTTTTGTGCCGCTGCCAATTAACACTTGACGGCGCACGCTGCGTATGCGCAATGTCTTCTCAATTTTAACGACAAGTCAACAATATAGTCACCGCTTCACCGACCCAACCACCTTACTCCCATACACCCCCTCAACTATTTGTGACTCTTGTGTAGAGGGCGTCGCCGCTTAGTTTAATTTTTTTAAATTTAATTAAACGGTCTCTTGTCTTGGCGCAGTTCGTGTTTGGACGTCCACGTCCATGTTATCTCAATTGGACATAAATCATGCGAGTGACGCAATTTCGTCATGTGCCATTCATTTTCTGGTTATTGTTGTTGTTGTGTGTGGGCGTAGGCGTGGCCCCAATTTATGTTGATCTACTTTTGACGTGAAAGATGGACGCCCATTCGCTGGAATACGTACTATACTTTTTTTTAGGCCAGCGCCAGGTGAACTGTACATGCACAAAAACCCATTTGTCTTTGTTTATCGATTAGAGCTGGAGTTTTAAACTAATTTCGTGCTTATTAATTATTTTTTAGATGCCTGCGGTCTGTCGGATGTGACACACATTGAATCCCTGCAAGAGAAATCTCAGTGCGCTTTGGAGGAATATTGTCGAACGCAGTATCCGAATCAGCCCACGAGATTTGGCAAATTGCTACTCAGATTGCCATCTTTGCGTACCGTCTCCTCACAAGTAAGTAAAATCGATGGCAAAATAGTGTAACTTGGCTTTAATTCAATTTCAAATAACAGAATACTTTCATTCATGATAATGATACAAATCCACCAGAAACCCTTTACATTCCTCTTGCTGATTCCTTGTCTCTTGTGCTCTTTTATTCACCAGGTCATTGAGCAGTTGTTTTTTGTGCGTCTAGTCGGCAAAACGCCCATCGAAACGCTGATACGCGACATGTTGCTGAGCGGCAACAGTTTCTCTTGGCCCTATCTGCCTTCGATGTGACACACAATGTGGCGCCAATTGACAACAACTTGATCATCAGCCGCAGCTGTGGCGGCCGCTGTGGCAGCCAATCATAGCAACACTACGCTCAACATCAATCCCTGCAACAACAACAACAACAACATTACTAGCAACAGCAACATTGGCGGCGGCGGTGGCGACGGCGACGGCAGCGGCAGCGATGGGTGTGGGGGCATTGCTGTTGCTGGTAATCACAGCCACGATCACAGCAATGTTGCTGCCATGCATGCAACATACGGCAACGGCGTCAACAACTGCAGCAACAGCCTCAACAGCATTTGCAATCAGCAGCAAATCAGCAACTACAGCAACAACAACATGAACGTCAGCGGTTTTCTTGGCGCCGGCAGCAGCAGCAGCGATTATATGGCCAATGCAACCGCAGCTGCTTCTGCTGCATATGTGACACCAGCAGCAATTGCAACAACAACAACAACAGCAATGCCAGCGTCAGTGAGTACAACAACAATGCTGTCTAATTACTGCGATGCAGCGACTATGATGATGGCCGCTGCCGCTGTCAATGCAAATCAGTGCCTGCAACAACACCACCAACGATTGCTGCTGGCCAGCGGCAACAGCAGCCACAGCCACAACCATAGCAGTAACAACAGCAATAGCGATGAGCAATTGGCCACGGCAGCGGTCATGGCCTCCTCCTCGTCCTCAGCTGGCTCGCTGTCATCGGCATCGTCCACACCGACAGCAACGGCCGTCGCGACAGCCCAGCAGCAACAACAACAACCGTCGCTGCCATCGCCGCCAAATTTAATCGATATCAGCGAAGTTCCTCGCATTGTGGATGTCAAGTAGTGTAATTATTTATGCATATTGAAAAAACCAACAAAAAAACCAACAGAAAAAATCTCTAATGAAAAATGTAAAAAAAAAAAAAACAAAAACAAGAAACGAGAATCGTGTAGCTTAATTGTTTTAAAATCTCCTTTAGTTGTTGTAACTTGTACATAAACAATTTTCAACTTTCACCCAGGCGCCCACAACTGACAGCCAAATGCGGTTTTTTTTTTTAGATACAAAGCTGCTCCCTGGTTAACTGTTGCAAAAGAAAGAAAAAGATTAAAAGTAATCCTAAACGATTATCGTTTCAATATTTTTGCATTCTCTTCTTTCTTTGGGCGTCCATCAGTTCTACTATATGTCTGTATAATATTCAAAGGCACTGAGTTCTACTTAATTTTTAAATCAAATGAAAACTAAACTAAAGTAAAATTTTTGATATACCCTACCACAAACGAAATATAACAAATAAAATACACAAAAAAGACAAATGTAAATGTATGTTAGGCAAAATATTTATGTATTTCTTGTAGCATATATATATATATATATATATATATATATCTATATTAGGCAGCTATAACTATATAGGTCTATGCGTTCTATAGTGTACTTTAAAGTCTAATCTTCCAGTGGTTTGCAGAATTATACCAAAAATATATTTTTACTTTATGTGTGGCAATTATATTTTGTGTGTGCTTTAGCAATTTTTTACTTTATTTTACTTTAAGTAAAATGTAAAAAATAAAATCAAATATAATCAAATATCATGAGGAAATTAAGAAATACAAATTCTCAACTTCTCCAAGCCATGTCTCAAAGATGTGGAAAAAATTTAACGAAAATACTTATTTTATTTTCATTATTTTACAATGCAAAATTTAGCAAATTTTCCTATTTTTTATAAACAATTAAAAAAAATGCGGGCAATACCAATTCAGTGCAAGTTTTCAGTTTTAAAACGATCTTTTAGACTAAGCATTATTTTATTTATATGTATAAATATAAACGTTTTATATATTTTATAATAATAAAAATTGCGTTTTTAAAGAAAGTTTCTATTGTTTTCTTTTTAATATTAAATTGATAAATAATTATTTATTATTTGTTCATAAAGAAGAAAACGAAATATATGACAGCCATAACAAATAAATTCTTGTGGAGTTTTATTTTTCTTTGGGATATATCCTGATTTAACTTGGTAAGGATACTAAGCTGATTCGGTTTACTATATCTATTTGCATTATTATTTTAAATAACTCCAGCCAAGGTTTTGTACAGAAAATTGCGTAAAACACCTTTTAAAAGTATAGCAAATAATTAATAATAATATTAATAACTACCAATAAAAATTTGTTCGAAATTTTCGTTCATAGTCTTGTATTTGCGCATTATTGATAAGCAAACATTGTGTATATAAAATATTAAACTATATATTATAATAATTGAATTATTGAATTACAGTTACTTATTAAAAAGCATCGCATGAGCGCGTGTAAATACAATTTCGAGGTGCGAAATATGTAAATTAATTGATAATAAATGTCAACCGAATGGTAAATATATGCATATACACCGTAGAGCTGAGCAAGTCCAGCTATAGACATAGATCAAGTACACATATATATATATATATATAAATATATATATATATATATATATAAATATAAACCTTATCACAGTTGATAGTCGAAGAGGGGAGAGTATGAATGTGTGTGTACATATGCCTGGGTGTGTGAATCAAAATTGACATTCATAAAGTACAGCAAAATATAAAATTTCCGCATTATGCAAACATGTTGATTGCGGCAATCGAAGAAAAAACATATTTATATTTATATTTAAGTATTAATTAGTTAAAACGAAAAAGTAAAAACTGTTTGTTTTTGATAATTTCGATATGGAAATCCAGTGTCAGTTAAATTTATTTTATTTAATAAAAAATACATGAAATAACAAAGATTTTTTCTTGAAATTGAATATTTTTTAACTTTAATAACTCTCTCTCTGCCCCCTAATCCTATGTGAAGCATGTGTTGCAAAATAAATGCCCAAGTCATGCCGCAGTTGAGGCGTGAACTCCGCTTACGACCTCTATACAAATGACCCTCGGCATGGGCTTGGGCAATTACTCGTACTGCTCCAAAATTGCCAATAATGAGACATGCAGCTCGCGCGCTTAGCCTCTGTAATGGATTGCCATGGATTGGTATCAATTGCAGGTCAATTCCTCAACGCCACGAAAATTTCACGCGCCGACAAGATAATCGTCGCACATAATGCCGGGATTCCCTAGTTTGCTGCAAGCAACTCCGAACCAAGTTCGAAAGGATCGTGCAACGCAGACAGCGTGTTGCCAGTTGCACAGTTGTTGCATGAACAAATTGCGGCTGTCTTGTGGCCCGTCGCTGCCGTTGCCGAATGACAAATTAGATATCGAAAATAACAATTTGATCGACAGGCGATCGCCACCGAAACAAGCCGAAAAAAGTGCAGCAAGAGTACATAAAAACAAGGGTATAAAAAAATAAAAAAAGATTGCCTTGCGATTCGAGCCGTAAGTCCAAATTGCCAGCACAAAATAAGCAAGGTATTTTTTTGATACCCTTCAGCGAGTATCACTGTCTTATCATTAAATGTGTAACGCAGAGACAGAATTTACGGCTACATAAAGTACATATTATCTCGTCACTCTAAGCCTACTTTCAAGAAACTTAAACGAATGGATCCGTCTACTATATCATATAGATCGGTCGAAAATTAGATTCTGGCATGGAATACTAATTTGTGTTTTAAGAAATGTTTGGGGGTTATTCAAATGGCATAGGTATGTCATATAGAAAGCATCGGTCGAAAGCTTTTCAAATGGACAATTTTTCAATTCTCAGAACATGTAAGCCACATGTCTACAAGGGTATTTCATCTACGTTCTGATTCAGATAGACGTTATTTCCTGGCATTTTGTATTGCGGTTTGGGCAAGCGTATCCAAAGGAGTTGATGAAGGTGTTGATTTGATTACTTTTATGTAAGCGGCTCAGGCAGAGCTGCAGCTTCAGAGATCTGTTGCAGTTGAGCATATTTTTCCAAATCGTGATCGCGGCAATTTTGGGATGGATCGATTCAGAGTCTGCCTTCAATTGTGCCGACTGATTGTGACGGACGGTGGAACGGCAGGGAGTGGGTGTATATTCTCTGCGCCTGCCCCGCGGGCAATACATAAATGTGAAAAATGATTTGACTTTAATGGTCGCCACTGAGTGATCAGATGATCATCCGATGATCAGCACAGCCTTGGACTCGCTGTAGGTGTTAAGATTTTGTGACCAATTGGCCTGATAATCCGCAGTGTTGCCACCTTCCATCAGAGTTAACGGTTGCAACTATTTTGCATGCCATGCGATCATTTCACAACCCGCCCCATTCCCTCTCGCTGTCTTAGTCTGTCTCTCTACAAAACTAAGAACTGGAATCGGGCTAGGCAAATGATTGATTCGTTCTGCGGTGCTGGAGAACGTGGGAATTTGGCTTGAAGAATCGAAGGTGTGTCCGCGCACTACTTTTCGTACTGCAAATTATTATCTTTACGAGCTGTAAATGAGTTATGGAAAATTAGTCGAATTACGTGTATCCAGAAGGACCTAGAGTTAACCACAACTAATGCAATAATCCTAATGTATATTTGGGGCATATCATCTGGTAAAAATTGATCACTTTTGCGGTATTAACTTGCCGCAACTAATTGAGTTCTTAAGTAACAAAGGATTAATAGTGATAATGATATCTATTAAATAAATATTTTTTTAAATTGCTTGTATAAATAAGTAAATATAAAATATAACATAAAAATATATATACACAGAACACCCCTAATGCTTGAAGACATGTATTATTTGCATGAGGGAATTGAAATATGATGAAAAAGAATACGTTGGATAAATAACGCTTATAAAACTAATAATAATAAAGTAAGACTCACATTCCACTTTCCAGGTACCTCTGCACCCACAAATTATTTGCTTTGGCATATATATATTTTAGCTATTTATTTAATTCTCTTTAGCTATTTATTTAGATAATTTATAAGTTTGTGGTGTTCCGCTTGAAATATTTATCAAATTAAAAAAAGAAAAAAATCAAACAACAAAGATTTATGCATGGCAAAGCTAAGCATAACTACTGTGTGTTGCTTGCAACACCACGCAACAAAGTGCAGCATTGGACACACACACACGCACACACACACGTAGACATACACGCACACACAGGCTGACAGAGTGGCCCGCACAAAGCCGTCACAAAGACCCAAAGATATTAGTGGGAATTTTTCAATCCTTTGACGATGGTCAAAATAAAATATTATTTCGCGCGTTAATACGCAAAAATAAGCGAGTGGTTGGGTGGCTACCACGGCTAGGCGGGTGGGCAGCCATGAACTGGTATATCCCACTCCTCCTCGACCCGCTCACTCTCTTAACCTGCTGGCTCTGATCCACGCTCTGCTGTTGTTTGGCCGAGAAGTTACGATGGGACGCTGCGTCGACTCTGGCAATAGCAACGTGAATTTGTGACTCGTTAAGAGCGCGTGGCACTGGTCCCGGGGGCAAGGATCGGGTTAGGCAGTGCCTGCTGCCGGCTGCCTCTACCGTGGCCGGACCGTCGCCATGGGTGGGCCTCCGCGCCTCTGATGCAAAACGCTTTTGACAATTTGTACTTGTTGCTGCAGCGGCTGCGGCGCGTTATAAATTATTAAAATAGAAAATAGCATTCAATTTCGATTTTTTGGCATGCGGTGTGAAATATACGTAATTGAAAAGCAAATTCCTCCATTGCCTTATTTATGACTTGTGAAAATTGCCAAGATATTTATTGCGACTCGACCCACCTAGCTATTTGTTGGCTCTGCTAATTAAATTATGAAATGCGTCTGCGAAAAAGGCAAATATCATGCACTACGCAATCCCCTAACCCCTGCTGCACCACCTCCCCCTCACAAATATGTAAAAAGGACCACATGTCCGATTCATTTTTTGGGTGTATTCAATTTCATGCGCTTACAATAGATTTTATGTAAATTCTCGTAATGTGACAAAACAGGGAAGCACACGCACGCACACACACATACGCACACATTGCGATGACATTTAGACAAAACGTAAGCGTCGAGCGAGGGGGTTAAGCTGGCGCGGCGGGGTAGGGGTTAAGGCGCTGATGTGCCTAATGAAATTGGACACCGTCGTTGTACACTTTGTGCCCCTTATTGCCAAGCATTTTGGCATAAGTTTGAGCCACATAAATTAATGTATCGTGCGCATGTCGCTGGCGGGACAAAGAAAGAGAATATGCGAGACAGCGAGCGAAAGAGAGAGAGAGAGAAGGATAGAGAGATGTGTGCATGGAGATAGCAACCCGAAAATGATGAAAATCACAGACAGAATCTGTGCTGGCATCGCCTGCATATGCAAAATGTTTAACCCTTAATTGGCCCATATGGCCGAAGCGACATTCTGTGGCCACCGGCCGCTCACCTATCGCTGACATTGATAGCCATCGCCGGAGCCAGAGCCAGCGGCAGCGACTGATTTGAGATATGCGCCCCCGCCGTCAACTTTTTCAATTACCCAACAAACTGGAGCTGGAGCTGAAGCTGGTTATGCAAGTCTCTGACTCTGTCTCTAATTCCCTGCTCCGACCCTGCCCCTGTATTG